CTCTTACCACCCAGTTAGAAAATGAAAACAGATACATTAAGGTACTTCAGCTCCATTCATTTCCTGAATAACTGGACACAATTATATGGATAACAATTACTTTAATAAATAACTTGCGATGTTTCAACGATGATGCTTTCTATCAAGATAAAGACGAAAGCATCATTGTTAAAACGTCGCAAGTTATTTATTAAAGTAATTGTTATCCATATAATTGTGTTCAGTTATTCATACCCCAGTTACTAAATGCCACTCAAGGAAGTTTCATTTCCTGAGTTTGAATCTTTCTTTATGTCAAATTTTTTTGGATACAAAAATAACATGGCTGGGAAACCTCCCTTTTGCCATGCAGCATAAACCCTAATATATCTCAATCTGTAGCAAATTGTGGTCTGCTAGTTGATTAGGAGGCGTTGGTTCAAATCTGCAAAAATTCTGATGACACGACAAGTGGATTTTGAAATTTCTAAATTGTTATCAAACTTGTTTTGTATAGGAAGAGTTGGCAGTCTTACGTTTAAAATTCAATGAGATTCAACAAGAAAATAAAGTTTTACATGAAGAATTGAAGACTACAGTTATACATGAAATTATTCAAGAGGGTGGAGACATAAAGAAAGTAAGGAATTTTTTAGTTCTTTTTCAAGGATAATATAGGTTTTATTACTTAATTCAATTTTTGTAAACTTTATCTTATAACTGTATGCAAATATATGATATTAGGTTTATGCAATATTTGTTCGTTTTTGACTACAGCAAACTTTGGAAATGTATTTACTTTTGTGTTTATTAAACTTTTTTTCAACATTTCGTCGGTGACATGATTTCGTAAGAGATCATTTTGCATTGTCTGCTAGTCTGTGTATTTCTAATAATCAACATTTTATTTTAGTTAAAAGGTGATATGGTAAATGATATACTAGATAATGATGTTAAGAGTGACTATAAAAAATGGCAGATTGAATTGGTAAGATAAACTTTATGAATTTTTTTTCAAATTGAAAACAGATTTGGAAAACTTTTCTTTTATTTTTTCTAACATATTTCAACTTTTTAAATTTGGGACATAACAAATTTTTTAGCCAGATTATTCCAATCTACCCAGCTGTAAACGGGAATGGAATCAAAGAAAGTCAATGCCAGAGATAATTCTTTATAATACATTTGGACATTTTTAAGATATTCATTCATTTCATTCAATATTTCTTTCAGTCAAGATTGAGTTCTCTACATGCTGTCAAAGCTGAAAGACTTGAAGCACAACTCGGAAACTCTAGGTGAATAAAATATTAAACATTCTTTCCTTTTTCAAATAGAACTATTCTTAGATTTGAAGAAGCTGCTAATAATATCTCTAGCAACATCATAAAGCGTTTAGGTTACTTTTAGTTGAATTTCAAAACTCACTGACGTCTGACTGAAAACTGGAATGGTGCAAATCAAGGCAATTATTGTTCCAAATACACATAAAGAGTTTTGAAAACCACTTAACAATCCCTTTAAGATGGATTTAAACCTTCTGCACCAAATCTAGCAGACGACAAACCAACTGGTTACCTTGGCGATCACTTACTTGATTGACAGATGTGCATCCATGTTCAAATGTTCATGAAGCTTGCTCTTGCTCAAAACTAATTGTTGTTGCATGATATTATAGGAACGAAGTACATAGATTAGAAGAAATAGTAGAAGATTTAAAATCACAGTTAAGGATACATGATAGTATACCAACACATGATGCTGGATTATCAGGTGATATGTATCTTACGCAATCTCAACGTAATACATATCAACAAACTATAGATAGATTAACAAAGTAAGTAAAGTTCTGTCATAATCCATGTTTCTATTATCCATTACTATTTGTCTTTTGATTTGAAGTATGTGACCTGTAGTGCTTTTAAAAATGACCATTATGCTCTTTTCTTTAGTGATATTTATTGAGTTATATTAAATCATTCTTAAGCTAAAATTGAGTTTGGTCAGATATTGACTAGAAGCAATCTTTGTGTTGAGTTACCAATTTTTGTGCTGTAGAGTTGAGTTACCAATTTTTGTACTATAGAGTTGTGTCGAGTTACCAATTTTTGTGCTGTAGAGTTGAGTTACCAATTTTTGTGCTGTAGAGTTGAGTTACCAATTTTTATGCTGTAGAGTTGTGTTGAGTTACCAATTTTTGTACTGTACAGTGAATTAAATGGAGACTTATATATTTTAGAGAGAGAGATGAGTTAATGGAACATATAACCAGTCTGAAAAACAGATTAAATGATATGACAAGAAGAGAAGAAGAGGCGTATCAACAAATGAAAAAAGGAATAAGTTTAGTAGAAACAGCACAATTAGAACAAACTGAGGTAAGAATATTTAAAAAAAAATTTTTAAATTTTTGTAAAGACTGAACCATTTTTAGCTGATGAAATTTGTTATATATTATAGGCATTAGTAGTAAAAGAACAGTTAGCTGATGAAATTTGTTATATATTATAGGCATTAGTAGTAAAAGAACAGTTAGCTGATGAAATTTGTTATATATTATAGGCATTAGTAGTAAAAGAACAGTTAGCTGATGAAATTTGTTATATATTATAGGCATTAGTAGTAAAAGAACAGTTAGCTGATGAAATTTGTTATATATTATAGGCATTAGTAGTAAAAGAACAGTTAGCTGATGAAATTTGTTATATATTATAGGCATTAGTAGTAAATGAACAGTTTGCTGATGAAATTTGTTATATATTATAGGCATTAGTAGTAAAAGAACAGTTAGCTGATGAAATTTGTTATATATTATAGGCATTAGTAGAAAAAGAACAGTTAGCTGATGAAATTTGTTATATATTATAGGCATTAGTAGTAAAAGAACAGTTAGCTGATGAAATTTGTTATATATTATAGGCATTAGTAGTAAAAGAACAGTTAGCTGATGAAATTTGTTATATATTATAGGCATTAGTAGTAAAAGAACAGTTAGCTGATGAAATTTGTTATATATTATAGGCATTGGTAGTAAAAGAACAGTTAGCTGATGAAATTTGTTATATATTATAGGCATTAGTAGTAAAAGAACAGTTAGCTGATGAAATTTGTTATATATTATAGGCATTAGTAGAAAAAGAACAATTAGCTGATGAAATTTGTTATATATTATAGGCATTAGTAGAAAAAGAACAATTAGCTGATGAAATTTGTTATATATTATAGGCATTAGTAGAAAAAGAACAGTTAGCTGATGAATTAAGTAAAATGAGAGAGAGATTTGAAGTTCAGGTATTACAGTATCATGAAACACTAGAATCAGAAAGAGAATCAGTCAGAAGAGAATGTAAACAAATTATAGAAGATCTCAATAATAAGGTATGATTCTATTTTTTCTGGCCTTTTTCTTTTGTTTGGAATCATGGTGTAGCCATTGTTGAAGTCCCAACACTAAGTAAATTTGGCAAACATTCAACTGCATCAAGGCAAATATGCCCAATTTGACAAAAAAAATTAAAAATATAAATATGATAGCTGCTTAATATATCATTTCATTTGCTTCTAATGACACACTTAGGCATTGGTGTCCAGTTATTGAATTATTACAGTTATCACAAAATTTCCTCAATTAGTTAGTTTTCAAAGGTTTAAAGATGGGTTTCCTTATTTTTAGTGTCAAATTAAGCAAATGAATTGGTGTTTCTAATGTATTATCATGTATTCTTAATCATATCATTATGTTCTTATTGCATATAATTAAGATGTTAAACCAATCATAAATGTCCATGTATGTACAGTCTGGATAAACAAAAAAAAAAGACTTTTTGACCTTTCTTGATTGGTCACTCATTGGAATTCTGCTGGTAATTCCTTGTTATTTAGCTAATAATTATGAATTAATTATGGACATTAAGTCATTACTCCAAGGTTAGACAAACCGGTATTTTTCCAAGTCATTAGAATTTTCTATTTATATAAGTATTAGCATTTTCATGAATGATAATAAGGGAACCCATCTTTAAATTTATTTACAGTTGAAAGAAGTAACAGACAAGTTTGCTTTAATTCAACATGAAATGGAGAGAAATGAGAGAGAAAAAGAAAGTTTAATACATGAATTAGATGATGTTAAATTACAATTGAAGAAATGTGATACAGAAACTACTATGGTATGTATGAAAAAAGAACATTACTAATTGTTTTGTATGCATAGTGCTCAGACCATGCTCAGTCTTCTGGAACACCTGATACTATTCTGTGACTTTGTGGATCAACTCGACGTTTCTTTCAGATAGTTACCGTAGCTTGCTTTACAAGAGTCCTGATTTGGATTTTCAATCTGAATTCCACTTTTTTTGTAATGAAATTAAGAGGGGTTGATATAGAAACAATTTTTTCGATGGTACTCAAAGTTTCGGTAAAAACTTAAAAATCTCTCAAAAGTTGATCAAGCAGCATGCTAATACATATGTCTTGGCAAAATTTAGGGCATAAATCTCCATTTCATCTGATTTTCTTCTGTTATTGTTAGATGAATGAACTCTACAGAACAGAAACAGCAAGTACAACTATCCATAGATCTAATGCTTTACATGATGCTGCTAGGTTAAGATGTGAGGTAGAAAAATTACATCGAGCTAGAGATGAGGTATGTCAATTACTGACCTGGTGACCTTAAACCAAGGGTACAGATATAAAAATTGTGTTCACATCAAATGATAGAATTAATTAGTATTTATATAGCCCACTAGCTTTTTTTAATATTATACAAGGATAGCAGAAACTGAAAGTAAAGTGACACTCCATTCTCCAATAAAATAGCCCTGTTTTGAAGTTTGACTTTGTGGTCTAAATTAACAGTCACAGGCTGTTAAAAATGTCCCATTTGAAAAAAATAAATCAAGATCCCTGAATTGATACCAATGGAAATACAATTTTGTTTCAAAGTGTCAATTGGAATTACTTCCAATCCATATCAATATTTTTCTCTTGGTTGATTAGTAGCTGATACAGTATTATTATTTTGATATATATTGACAACTATTTTATGTTATATCAAAAATACACAATCAGAACTGATAACAATGAAATATGCAGTTTAAATTCCCATATATTTTAATGTTTTTAAGGAATGGATATTAGTACTGGCACGATATATCGGTGAATCGATGTATCGTGATCAACATACCACAATACGTGTATCGTATCATGAGTTTGTGTATCGATACTTGTTGATAGATAAATATTTCAGTCCAACTATACTTAAACACTGTGTTAAATCAAGTTTTTATTTTTTGTAGGATAAAAGTAAAATGAAGCTAGAAATAGAAGATTTAAGAAGAAGATTGTATACAGCTGAAAGAGAATTAGTTAATTCTAAAGAAGAATGTATTCATCTAACTTCTAATACTCAATCTTTAGAAAGAGAGGTATTTAAACTCATATTTTATAAAACTTAAGCTAATGTTTGCAAATAGGATTTTTGATTAGTTTGAAATTGACAATTTTTCATCTAGAAATTTGGAGTTATTACCTTTGACTTTTTTGAATTTATATTTTTATATGATTAAATGAAACTGAAGTCAGTGTATATCAGTAAGACACTGTAAGTTTCAATTTGACAATTTTTCATCCATAAGTTTAGAGTTATTGCCCTTGGCTTTTAGAATATATCAATTATTGACATGCTTGTACAGCTTTTAACAATTCAAGGTTCAGTGAAATTTGCTTGTCAGTCAGATCAAGAATAAGTAGCATGCATTACTCAACTGTACTTCATGCTATAGAATATTCATTTTTGTAGTTTCTTCACACCTGATAAGCAAGTTACGTGACTTTGGTCAAAGATCTCAAATCCTTATATTAAAAAGTTTGTATTGTTTACGTATATCAATTTGGTTATATATATATATATATTGTAGCTACATCTAAGTAAACTATCTAAAAACAGTCTAGAACAAACTAGATTAGAAGATTTAAAATCTATAACTAACCACGCTAAACAACGTGAGAACGAACTCAATGCCTGTCTAGCTCAACTTGAAGATAAACATTGTAAGTTTTGAGTTTTATCATTTATTTTGTGGTCAAGTTGTGAAAATATTTCAGTTGTATTATTGTTGATATCAGTTGCGCTTCTAAAAAGAATTCATCAGTGCTGGAAGAAGCCATATAATTATCTTTAGGGAGATTAATTTGGAAGTGTAGGGCCAGATGAATACCAACCGTAGATTTTACTTGTTTTTACATTTCAAATTGTAAATTTTAGTTTAGCATTTTTGTTTTTAGTGTTGTACTGCAATTTTAAGGAGCCCCTTCACTATCCATTCGACCAATCATAACCTTAGTTTCAGAAACAGAAATTTTTTTTAGCTTACTTAATCAGTAATAGTGTTCACAGCTCATCGTCGAAATTTGAGCTTTCAAATCCATATGTATCCATAATTATTCACGTTTGAAAGTTAAAAATCCGACTTAAATTTTAGTGAGACTATACCATATATAGAAAACACATATATAGGAATAGACAGTGAAATTTCTAGTTTGAGGTATATTTGAAGGGATTATGCAATTTTCGTGTGTTTTAGTACTTCTTAAGACTATTAAAGCACAATAAAGACTCAAATCAATCCCCGAAAATGCTGACTGTTCCCCTTTAAAAACAAAAAAATTATACATCGTACAATAACTAAGATAGATTAAAACTGATTAAATGCAAGTAACAAGAGTGAAAACTTACATGTTCGTAAACATGTTTTGATAGTGTTTGTGCATTATGAAATTTTTCTTTTTTTTCTAGCTCAAACTCAAGCAGAAATGGAAGTTATGTTAAACAGACAGAATAGACTAATATTAAAACTTAGAGATGAATGTAGAAAACATGCAACTCAACTTGAAAAATTCTCTAAAAAGCACAGGTTAGTTGAGACTAATTTTCATACGTTTTCTTCTCAGAGGCCATTTTAATACCATTTTTACTTGCATCGATATTTCCTTAATTCACTTGGAAAAGAAATTTGGTATCTCCTGAAACATATTGTTATACAGTGCATGGGAATTAGAGTTATTTCCCTTGACTAAGGCATTTATAATGCTTATCTCAGCATCAAGACTGAAGATCTGTTGATATTGCTGTAAGATTATGCTGAAGCTTGGATAGTTCTGAACAGCTTCCTTCTCTTCCAATTCTGCCATCAATCGCATAGTACCAAACGGAACATGTTGCATTCCAAATTGTCTTTTTTCTTCTCCGCCATTTTGAATTCTCTTTGCACCTATATGACCCAAAACCATTTGAACCCTCGCCATTTTATTTAGATCTGAAGTTGGTACATTATCAAAAGATAATGAAGAAATGAAATTGAGATTAGAAAAGAGTTCATTAAGATTAGCTACATTAGATGATCAGTCTGATCAACATGGTAGAGTACATGAGAAAATGATTGAAAGAATGAAAATAATGGATGAACATGCTCAACATCAAGCTCAACAGGTTAGAATTTTTCATTTAAAAATAAAACAACATAGTTGGATGTCCATTAGTTTGTTGCTTTGTTCTGGCCATATTTTTAAAACGATATTAGCGCTAGGATATTCTAGAAACAGTGTTAGAAGTTAAGATCCCCTGACATCTCAAACCAACAAAACAATTTGAAAGTTTTAGTGGATTCAAATCATGTACACCATTTTACAGGTTTTGTACATCTTTATTAACTTGTGTACAAATTACCAACTCTCAGTAATATGAATGAAAATATATCATGAAATGAAACATTGTTTAAAAATTTGGAAAGTAAATTACTACTATCAAGCAAGCTGACCACAGTTGCAAGCAATACGTCAATAATAGCACCAAGGTGCATATAGAGAGAATGCTTGAGGGGTGTGGGGCAAAAATGAGAGTTGAAGCTCTTTAAAGATGGGTTCCCTTATTTTCATTTAAGAAATTGAAATTGCTAATACTTATATGAATATAAACTAGAGGTGTTCTAATGACTTGAAAAAATACCAGTTTGTCTCACATGTCCATAATTAATTAATTCATAATTAGCTAAATTAGAAGAGAATTACCAGCAGAATTCCAATGAGTGACCGATCATAAAAGGTCAAAAAGTATTTTTTGTTTATCCAGACTGTATAAATATGGACATTTGTGATTGGTTAAAACTCTTAATTATATATGCAATAAGAACATAATGATATGATTAAGAATACATCATAATTCATTAGAAACACCAATTAATCTGACTCTAAAAG